TCCTATATTTTCCACTTTGGGAAATCTTACAAGTTATCTCCTTAAACTACCACACTGGCATATGGTGACTCAGCTTAGGTTCAAATAATTGCAGCTACAGGGAACTCACAATATGATGGGTGGCAAGTTACTGTGGTCCTCCTCACTGTCCGCTCTTTCTTCTAAAAACCAATAGCATCAACATTAACATCAAAAGTCTACACTCAATAAACAAGACTGTAGCGCCCGTGAGTTGATCTTGGGGTGCTGGTTCACTGACACATTCACAGGTGAGTTACACTACCTCAGAACCTAGCAGGTAAGCAAGAGATATTTGTTGGATGGAAGGACAGACACAAAAAATGATGATGGATGCTACAGAATAATTTACACATATTTACCCACCATCAACCTGAGTTTAAAGCATGCATAATGCACTTATTTCTAAAATAAAGACCTGGGGAGATTTCACGGGAAACTATACTCTCTCCTAAGACCTGCAAACTCTTCCAGGCTTGAGTGGCAATAATAATACTGTTTTAAAATGAATCATGCACTGATTATGGGGATGCAAGTAATAGTGAGAACAGTCTCATTCATTTTCAAATATTAACCCTAACAGGTGCCTGACTGATAATTACTAAGAATTGCATCCATTCCCAAATGTCTTCTTTTCTTTAATCTTCAGCAAAATATAAACTCTCATCTATTTTGAACCGAATACAATGCAGAAGACCTTAATAGAAATGGGTGAAATTCTGAATTGGTCACAAAGACAGACTGTTGGTGGAATCTATATGTCCTTTTCCCAAATCTGCATTTACTCATTGACAACATGGTCTCTTTCTCAAATTAAATTACTAGATTTATTTATCTGTGAAGAACAAGATTGTTAATAGTGCTTTTATTACATGTAAATACACTAGTGCATTCACTTTTATTGATAATAAGGCAAGTCACCCTCTTCTATGTCATTGTGTCATATCTTGCATTGTTTTCTTCTCTTTTGCACAATTTCATTTGCTTAAAGTTTCCAGTGTATAATGACTGATTTGCTGTTTTCTTCTCTGGAGGAGGGGAAAAGCATTAGGTACCTGGTACTCAACAAAAGCCCTGACTGCAGAGTCATCAATGAAATTCCTCAAAGTGACAAAGGGCCCAATGTGGGGTTCCTTGCTGATACAACCAGGTCACAAGCCTAGGAAGGCTTGACAGATGTGGCTGGCTCCTTCCTCAGGGCTGACTCTGTTTCTGGTCTGGGATTTGCTGACCAGGCTGCACTCCTTCAGGCCTTCTGCAGGACCTCAGGCTCCAGGAATTTGGACTGAGTTGTAGAGACATTGCCAGCAGACACAGCAATTGCCAGCTTCTGCCCTGCGCTGTCTCGTGATTCAAAGCAGATTCAGCTCCACTTATTTAAAAGGAGGAGCATATAAATGCTGGGGACCCACAAGAGCAAACCAGGCAAGGAAATGCCACTGTATGACACAAGAGTCCATGAGTTAGCCACTCTGCCACAGTGAATCATGGCGCGGATGTGGTTGTGGGGAGCTTGCAGCGGGAAGATCTGACTGCTGAGTGACCTTGTAGGAGATGATAGGAGCTGCAAGAGCCCTGGGACTTCCTCATTTCACAAATGATCCTGGGTTGAGACCCTCCGCCTCCAAGCACGCACACACAGAAAGACACCCCCACATACGCACATCCTACCCCTCTGGTTCCTAGTCATCCAAGGACTGCATTTGTGCTTGACTGCGCAAAGGAAGAAGTGGAGAAAAGAGGATGCTTTTCCATCTTGGGCCATTATCTGAAATATCAATAAATACCACTGAGTTGAATAACCTTATTTGCAAACTTGTCATAGGGAGTAATTTTGGACTGGGCCTCTCATATCAATTCCACCTGATACCAAATTTAGACAATTAGCAACAATTGCTGTAGGTTTTATGTGTAGCGTAGTTGTTGAAAACACTTCTTGCTTTGTCTCTCTGCATTCATTGCCAGCTCTGCTCTCTCTGCTTGGAGGAGGCATTTTGGTGGTAGCAGCTATATTTGTATATCTCTGCTCTCTAAAGTGTTCTTTTATGAGAACTGTTCACATCACAAGAATCCTGATATTCATGAACTGAGGCCACTAGAAAGGGAGGGGTCACAGCAAGCCTAGTAGACTGCAGTGGAGGATTACTGAGACGTGGTGGTGGGTGGTGTGATAACATACATTTACAGAGGTGTGGCCTTTAAATCACATACAGTGTTATAAACCAATGTTACTTCAATAAACACTTTTTTAAAGATTTATTTATTTATGCATACAAGAGCGGGGGTACAGGCCAGAGGTGTAGGGGGTAAGAGGATTCACCAGAGACAGAGCGGGAAACAGAACAGGCAGACTGACTGAAATACACTGCTAAGGGGAGCAGCGGGCGAGATAGGAGAGGTCTGCTGCACCATGTGGGTAGCTCCCTGGCCAGCTGGGGATCGAACTCACGCTGCAGAGGCTGCGATTGCTTCATAGTGCGGTGCTTAACCCCTTGCACCACCAGAGAGGCCCCAATAAACACTTTTAAAAAGAATTCTGAAATCTAGGTACAATTAGCTTAAGTATTAATATTTTAATGCATATGTGTGTGTGTGTGTATGTATTCTCAATATATTACATACTACTTACAGAAGAGCAGGACTGGAATCCAAGCCTATTTCTTTCCTGTGTGTGTGTGTGTGAATGATTTTTTTTAAATCATTCATTGAGCTCTCTAAATCTCATCATCTCCATGTATGAAATAAAACAAGTTACCTTGTCATACTGTCGTTATGATTAACTAAGAAAATACAGAGTCCTTTTTAACATAGCATATAATTTATTACTATTATTACTAGTTATTGCATTATTAGTACTTATTATTACTACTACCATTATGTCTATCTATCATGATACACATGGCCCAGTTATAAGCTGTTACCTACATTTATTTTCCAACACAATGGTTTGCCTCTGATCTGACCAGGCCTGTCCAAGGACACACACGTCGTAAGTGACAGAAGAGGGCTAAAGCTCAGGTCTTCCATCTCACAGGTTGGCTTCACAGTATTTCTAGTATAGACACACCCCGGAGCAGTAACGCAGCCCGGGGTAGGGTGGAGCTGGGAGCAGGTCACCAAGACTTCCACGCCCTGAAACACAGCCAGGATTTTCCAGTTCTCTGGGGCAGGTGACCAACTCGCGCCTCACCCTGCATCTCTCCCCTCTAAACTACGGGAAACCTCTCAGCCTCCCTGTGGCCTCTCCTCCTCATTCTCTTCCTCCTTCACTCCTGCCCCCCTGGAGGAAACTGTGACTTCCATGGGGACCTGGCCTTGCATTCAAGATGTCTGGCCATAAAGCACCAGTTGTGCCTCCTGTCCCCCACACACCCACATGCTGTTCCCTGTCACAATTCTCCTGATCCTGCAGGCCAATAGAGAGAAATTATGTTTTCTCTCTGGGGACAACTGGAGACAAATATTAGTGGCTGAGTTTGATTTTTCTCAGAAAAATTATCATAGAAATACATGTGGTCCATGGAGTTTTTCTCCAGCCACATTAAATTCCACCCAATGCAACCCATCAAGTCCTCTTACACTCCTGCTGCGGGGCCAGGGCCATGCCTCCAGAACTCAGCATCCAGATACAGAAGGAAAACTCTGAAGTCCAGCAGCTTGTCCCCTGGGAATGATGCACATGGAAACACACTCTAACACAGCACAGTGAGTATGTTTATCTGAAATAAGTTAGTACAAGGGAAGGAATGAGTGATTCCACTAGCAGATCAGGAATATGGCCCAGAAGACATGACATCTGACGTGGGTTATGAAGAATAAGTAGAAATGTGAGAGAGGGCTAAGACTTTCAGCCTTAAAACTGATTCTCATAGAAGTTAGGATTGGGGCAAAAGTAAGAAAATGCAAGTGTAGATATATGGCAGAGAAAGGAAACTAATTACAATCCATTCTCCATTGCCAGGGATAATCATGATGTCTGTTAACCAAATATGATGATTAACAGGGTTTTCATAGAACCCATTCAAGAGCTATTAAATGTCAAGAACGTTCAGTAGCCAAACTCTGAAATGGAATCCCACCTTCTTTTTCTTTTTCTTTTTTTTTTTTAAAGATTTATTTATTTATTCATACAAGTGCTGGGGTACAGGCCAGAGGTGCGGAGGGTGAGAGGATTCACCAGAGACAGAGCGGGGAACAGAACAGGCAGATGACTGAAATACACTGCTGAGGGGAGCAGCGGGTGAGACAGGAGAGGTCTGCTGCGCCATGTGGGTAGCTCCCTGGCTGGCCGGAAATCGAACTCGTGCTGCAGTGGCTGCAAATAGCTTCATAGGTGGCGTCTTAATCCTTGTGCCACCAGGGAGGCCCCCACCTTCCTTTTCTTACTCATAAACTGCTTCATTATCTTATAGAGCCATGGGTAATTATTATGAATAGGAGTCTGCTGCTTACAGAGTTCTACTTAATAGACTACACCCATACTTTGGTTTGCCCCAATGTAACTCAGAATCATGTGTGTGCTGTTTAAAACAATCTGCAGTGCCCACCACAGGCTCTGGCCTAGTCTTTCACTACTGTTATTACTTTCAAAGAAATAAGGACCTATAAGGCATTGTTCAAACAGAAACAGCATCAAAGTACATTCCAGGATCTTGGACATAGTTCCCATTTAATCAACAGAAAGATCTGCCTAGGTTGTAGTGGGCACATCAGCATTGTCTTCTCACTGCATGTCCAGCCCATACATGACACCCAGAATTGCTGCCAGAATCCCCACCTGTGGTCAAATAAGTGCACCATGAGATTCAGAACAGAGACCAGGATATCCCCAAAGAGTACCTTCATTTTCACCACATCAAACTTACAATTTCCCAATGTCCCAAGTTCCAACCAAGGGATTTCCATTGCTGTTTCAGGCAAATTAATAAAGAACACTTTACAGATATCCATTAAGTACAAATATGCTACTAGGAGCCTCAGAGATGGAGGTAGCCTCGCCCCTGGGAAATGACTCTGACGACACCCATGGATTTTACTTTCACAGGTAGGTCATTTGATCTTACAGAAACCACAAACAATTGTTAGGCCTCTGTTAATAATCCCCACTTTACAAATGGGAGATTAATGATATGGCAAGACTCAGTTCACCCAACAGGCAAGTTCCAAACGCTCTGCCTCCACACCTTATATTCTTTCCACAATTCCTAACCCCACTCTCAGCCTTCAGCTGCAGAAATATCTAATACCTTGCTTTCTGTAGTATTTACCAGAGGCATCCTCATTACTCTCTTAGCTCAACCAAACTTTTGGACAACAGGCTAAACCTAACCCTCTTTTAATTCTCAGTCAACTAAGAAGCATCGTGAAGATGGCTCTTATAATTTGAAATTTTATATACATTAACCTTACCAAATCAGGACCGACTAGATTTAGCATCACATTCATCATAAGGGAGCAAATATATTATAAAGGAAAGTAATAACCACACTGGTTTCTTAAATGAGTTAAAGGATGGATCTACAGCAAGATTCATGAGAATATCATTTCTTCCTCTAGTACTTTCCTCCTACTCTGCACCCAGGGACACTCTCCTCAAACCCTCCACGCCTCCCTCCTTTATTCCTGATCTATGGCAGCCCTTAAGTTTTCCTTCCTTCTGCCTCCTCTGACTCAGCATTTTACTAGAGTCACCAAATCCCCCTCCCCAAGAGCCATGTCTTGCTATTTCATTTGGAGAGGCCAAGAGGAATTAAACCAGCAGTGACAGGAGTCTCTGTCAAGAACTGTGGGGGAGACACTTGTCATCTCTCCTATCAGTCACTTTTGCCCCATCATGCACACAGACCCTGGAGACACACACGGTGAGGCATAATAGGAGGCTTTGTGTTCTGTGGCCCTGAGTTCATCCCCATTTTGAGAGAGGAACCAGGTTATCCTGGCAGAGAGACCCCAGCCCACCTGTCCTTCACCTGGGGGAAGAAGGGAGGGCCGTGAAGCACCATCTCCTGAAAGCGGTTACATTCAACAAGTTTATTAATTTGTCTGAAACCCAGTTCCCTCGTCTATAAATGGGGATCCTAATAGCATTTAATTCCCAACGTTGTCGAGAGGATGAACTGTGACCATGAATGTAGAGCATTGAGCACAGAGATATGTGCACAGTCAGCCTTCAGGCTCTGCTATTCTGGCGACGTATATTCTGATAGTGCCCACAAAAGCTGGTCCTGCAAGTAGGCAAGGATAAACTAGGTGGAGAAAAGATTTCTTGAGCCCATTTACTCTCCTACCTTAAAGTGTCTGGCTAAAAGCCTGCTGGTACTGGCCCAAGTCAAGTGAGAGACCAGAGCTCAGCAGTACTCGCTAAGGTCGTACAACACCCTGAAATGTCTTGCTTCGTTCCTGCAGACAAGTCAACATTTTCAGGGACCTGAGTCTATAAATACATATGACCTTCCTCAGGAGAGGAAAATCTAATTAGAAGTATTTTTTTTTTACTTATTTCTTTTCTCATTAAAATAAATGGCAAGCCCACAGCTAGGCTGTAATTCATGACACACATGTCTTGCCTTCATTTTTTTATAGCTGAAGATTCTAAGAAGCAGCTTTGGTAGTGATAGTTTTGTGGGCAAGTAAAATCTGCCCACAACTGAGATCTCAGCCTGCTGGCTGGGGGCCCTACCCAGGGTGTATTCTGGGTGCCCATGTCCCTCCAGAGGACTTTGGTCAGGCAAGTCGGAGGTCTGCAGCTGACTCTTGGCCTGGCCTCTGTGACATGAAGGATGTGATGTGGAAAGGACTGACTCCAAGCAAGTCAGGGATGCATGCCAGTAGGTGTCCTGAGGAAGCCAGCCAGGCAGGATGGGGCAGGAAGAGGGTGCAAAGCATGCACCTTTCGGGGAGATGTCACAGGTGGGTTAACAGGAAGGAGGGGGGGGAGGACAAAGGAAAGCCATGTTCTCAGGCAGCCTGCATGGGAAGGGTAACTGACTGCTGGACAGGCCCAGCCAGCTCATGCCAGGAGCAAAATTTGGGGTGTTCAGTTATGCCCTGTCTCCCATTGGGCCAGAGACCTCCTTTCAGTTATGGATATCTAGGAGAGAATAGAAGCTGCAGTAATGAAAAATGGCATGAAACAGAAATCCTCTGACTGTGAGAAGAAAGCAAACTCCAATTGTTAGGGGGAAAAGGATGTCCTAAAGCTAATTCCATACAGGCTTTGTGGACTCCATCCCCACCCCAGGCCAAAGCCAAAGACACTGGGAACTCCAAATCCCATCACCACCAAAGGGAAGGTGGCTGGGACCTGAGGGTGGGGTTAAGCAGCCAGGTTGGTATAAAGGCAGACACGTGGGCTTTGGAGGGGTCCCCCATTTTGGCTCTCCGCCAGCTCGCAGCGTCCGGCCAGCTCTGAGAGTGACTTTGGGTTTCCAGGTCGTTGGATCGGGTAGGACGCATTAAAGACTTTATTCCCTATTTTCTCCCTGAGTTGTACATTTTCCTTATTTCCTTTTCCCTTGTAAATAAACCTTTTATTAACCTTTTGTGTGTGCCTGTAGTGGAGTATTCATAAGTCCCTTGTAAGCGCGCGGTGAGGACCCACAGCCAGGCAACCCGTTCAATATCGGGGCTGCCCTATAATGCTATGACATAGTAAAGAGAAATCCTGTTGCCATCCAAGAAGGTGGCAACTCTTGACTCCCTCAAATGCTTTTTATCTCCTCAGCCTTCATGCTGGTTCTCACTGACATGAATAACACTGAGCTTTCTGCTGGGTCTTAGGGGGTGGGGGATGGGAGGTGTTCTTACCTCCCTCTGTGTTTCTCCAATTGAAAGCATAGTTTATTAAAAAGTCTGCAACCAAATGTCTGTCGCTTGGGCTTGTGTCATGTGGTCACAGAATGGATTTAAGGCTCTGTGCAAGATTTATCAACAGTTTAACATCCTGGCCACACTCTGTCATTGTTACTTGTGACGTTCCCCATAAATCAGTTAGCTTCGTAAATATTTGAAGCCCCATAGCCTGCCCACCAGACCTGCTGTAGCCCTGGTCAGCATTACTAAATCAAGCATTTCAGGCAGGACACCCTCTGGGATGCGGGTAATAGCTTTCTGTTTGACTTACCCAAACAGTTTAATTTCTTTATGATCCAACATGGTTTAATCAGCAACTTTCAATCTGTGTTTCTAGATGAATTCCTGGGTGGCTTAGCTATCTATGACTTTTTCAGATTGATTATATATATATGGTAGATGAGCCTTATGAAATAAGAGTGAAGATGTTGGGGCCCTATTTTCAATGCAATGACTCTTCACTCACACTCATTGTCAGTTTATTCCAGTACCTTTTTCATAAACCAAGGAGTGAAAGATTTCTTGCACATTGTTTATGCCATGCTACCCAACTCCAGCCAAGGCACCAAGATGGAGATTCCCTGCACCTTTTTTGTGCAAGAAGGAGCACCGCGCTCCCCCTGCTTTGTCAGGCAGATCTCTTCGTGGGCCAATAACAGCCTGCAGCCAGCCAACCTCAGTGAGCCCAATGGCACCATCGTCCAGGTCAGTGAGCGGGCCTCCAAAAGACCACAGGTAAGAGACCCATCCACCTCGATGAGGATAGTGTCCGAGGGCTGTGAAGACAAATCCCAGCCATTACTTGCCCGAAGCCCTGTAGATTCGCACTGAGTCCACCCCCAATTGCTGCATAAGTTTGTGGTCCTGGAAGGCCCTGCCCTTGAGTGACATGCTCTATGGCAAGCAAATCTGACCTTTGGCCTTCTTTTCAGCCTCCCCCACCTCCACCGACACTGCTGTCCCACTTCCCACACATACACAGGCAAAAAAGGCATCTTTAGAGACGCCAGCAACCAGCAGAGCCCTGTGGGCTTTGTCCCCAGCAACTGTCCTCCCAGGTCAAGTTCCCCCAGAACTCAACTTGCACTACAATTAATCCCTCTTCCTCTCAAACCCACCCTTCCTGTGACAGAAAAATGCAATAGGTACCCCAAAAGTGATTTCTTAGGAATTTAGTTTAAGGAAATATTTTAAGAGATGAAGTTATATGTAATAAGGTGTTTTTCCTGGTGTTAGCAAAGAAAAAGATTTACAAACAACCTGCCTGTCCAGCAATGAGGAATGAGTCATATTATGCAGTTATCATTATGATTAAAGCTAAGAAAGATTGTTGATATTTACTGAGTGCTTTATCTAGCATTCATCTCCTTGCTCAATATTTTTAGCTCAGTTCACCCCACAGTCATCCTAAGATGTAGGTGCTAGGTCCCATTTCACAAATGGAGAAACTGAGGTACAGGAGTGAAGCCTCTCACCCAGGGTCCACAGAGTCAGGATGATAACCCCGGCGGCCTGGCTCCAGCATCCTTGATAATTACAAAGCTCAGACAGACAACAGGGAGAATATTCTAAAACCAGTGTTAAGAAGCAAAATAGCAAGTGATTGCACTTTATGACTGAACTGAGAACAATATGTGTGTGGACAGGACTATAGGGTTAAAATGCAAACATTAAGATCTCTATTGATATGGAGGTTTCCAGCTCTCTTTTAATTCTCTCCAATGTTTCACATTATCTTTTCAAATTAATTTAAAATGCTTAATTCCCTGTCTCATTGTGCTGCAGGGGACCCAAGACCACAGTTACTGCTCTCAACCCGCAGGGTGGATCATCCTCTAAGAAAGAGGAGCAGTGAAGCGCCACGAAGAGCCTGGTGCTGGGCCAGGCGGCTTGGGTTCAAATCCAAGGTTTCTATCTTGAGCAACTGTGTGGGTGGTGTGGTTTTGCCACTCACAAGCATGTGACCTTGCACGACCCCTCCAAGCCTTGGCATTTATAAGACTGCGAATAACAATAGAATTTTGGAGAGGAGTTAGTGACGGTGTGTTAAAGCCTTTAAGCAGAGTCTAGCACAAGTGTGTGTTTATTAAATAAAGGATTGGGCAAACACCATCCCCTAAGGGGTGGTCAGCCTGCTCCTCTCTCTGGTAATGCATGGAATTTAAAGGCTGTCAGGAAAGTTGCTAAGTTGTTGTCTAAGCAAAGGCTCTGTCAGGGATGAGGCCAAGCAGCTGGGGCCTTGGGGGTGGTCGGGGGTATCAACATGGGAGAGTTGATACACAGCCCTGCTCCCTCCCAGGGGTCTGTCTGAGCAGTGCACACCTCATGCTTCTGGGAACGAGCAGGGCAGCCCAAAATGTTCAGAATGTACAAGCAAGGTCTTCAGCACCCATTAGTTACAATTCATACATACTAACTACTCATACACACCCAAGCTCAGGGCTTCTCTGCACCCTCAGAGCATATGCTCAGGTGCCAGCTCTCCTTGCTTGCAGGTGAGGTCTCGGGAGGCTCCACATGGGCGCCCCAAGGTGGCACAGCATCTGCACAGTTGGCATTTGTGAGCACCACATCCTTCCAAAGTTCCTGGTGGCAGATTCTCCACAGACACCCAGTTGCTGCCTTTCACCTGTACCCAAGGCCTCGTCCTCCAGGACGAGGATGTGTGATGTGTCAGATGACTGATGTCAACTACAGTGAGCTCCTTCGTCCCATCCCTTAAAGGATCTGGCCACGTCTCCTTGGTTCCCTCTGCTGTGTGGAATAGAGAAAGACCAGGGAGTCAGGAGGCTCTTAGGACATTGAGGAAGCAGATGGGGAACAGGAACCCAATTTCGTGCTTTCGTGCTTGCTGTTTCCCTCTGCATTTAGGAAAGAGAGGAGGTTGTGTGAAACCAAAAACATTTGAACCCCCATCTTCCTTGGCAAGCACCCCTAATAAAAACCACTTCACTGTTTGGTGCTGAGAAAGGATAGAAGATTGAGCGTCCATTGAAAAGTCTCCCGGGAGCTTGTCCACACTCAGTCTCACTGGTCCTGAAGTGCCTTTCTTCTGCCTGCCCACCCTGATGATAGTCATTCATCCCGGTGAAGGTGGAGTGCACAATGCCAGGGAGTTGCCCCTTTCCGACCGGGTATATGGCTTCTCCCACGTGTTCCCAGGCCAGCTACTGCAGGTCCTGTACAGGGATTCTAGGTCTTAGGATCAGAAGGGGTGACCAGAGACTGTGTCTCAACAGTCTTTGACCTTAGACTGCTTCCTGAGGGTGAAGTGGACCGTCTGTTAATCACACTTGTTGTTTCTTGGTCTGTGAGCTGAGCTTTCCAGGGTCCAGGATTGTTATGTTCCCTTGGCTGCTATACAGAGCTGACTCCCCATTTACTGAACCCCCAAGTCAGTTCCAGGACCCTATAGGCCATCAGGTGGAGGAGCTGGAGCAGCCTTACCTGGGAAGCAAGACAAGTCTGCTCCTGGTGCTGCCCCATGTCAAAGACACACACTCTGTCTTCTCTGGGCCAGAGTGGAGCCCCCAAGCTCCCGTTTCAGCTTCACATGGCAGCCAGCTTTCCAGCAGGAGAGAGGGACAGTGCAGCAACCTTCAAGGAATGTGGCCCAAGTTTTACACATCCCAAGATTACACAATTGCCATTTTTTCAAAACCAAAAAAAAAGATAGTTTATACAATTGAGCAAATACAGATACAATTCTCATCAGAAGGCAAATTAAGGCATAAAAGTTGAAGACTTTAAGTCTTAGTACTGAAGTTTCTCATTCTTTCAGAACAGAGATGAGCCCTTCTTTAGGAAAACTTAATACACACACAGTTTGTCAAAGAGTATATGATGGTGCTAGATTTTGTTTTTCAAAGGCAAAAGCTATTGGCAAACCATTACTTTACAAAAGGATTTCTCATGCAACTTCTTTAAGTGACTAGCTTTTCTAGTACATCTAAAATCAGAATAAATTTATAACTAATCTGTAGACCAATATGCACTGGTGAATGCAGTCTGAGGGCTCGTTTTCAGCATGTATATGCTTCACGTTCCTTCTCTCAGACGCCCTGGCCTCCTCCACTGACCAGTTTCTCAGCAGCATGGAGCCAGAGGTCTTCGCAGCGCTCCTCAAGAGGTTAAAAATAAGTTCAGGCACTGGAACGAAAACATACAGATAAAGAACAAAATGTATAAGGACTTTTATTCTACATTAAGGACGTTAACATACCAAAAGAATAATCAAGAAAACCAACAACGAGTGTTAAAATGTAATTTACATCCGTAATGATGCAATGCCCACAAGAAAGACCAATATATCAAATATATATTTGTTTAATCAATAAAACACTGAGTTACTAGATCAACATAGTAGGAAGCTGAGCATGAGCATTTTTCTGATATTAGAAGTGATATTTGTGTTTTTTAAAATCCATGAGCTCTCATATCCAAAAGGAGTTTTGCCCTTCCTTCACAGAGCTTCTGGTTATCATTATTTGTGGTGTTTCTAAGGATATTTTCTTCTTTTTAAAAAAATTAAGGTATATAATTCACATACCATACAATTTATTCTTTTAAAGTATACAATTCAGAGGATTTTAGCATATTGGCCAAGCTGTGCAACTATCACCATCACCACTAGCTAATTTAGAACATTATCAATATTCAAAAGAAACCTATACCCACATCATTACACATTCCTCTCTCCCACCCCCCACAAGAGCTGGGCAATCACTAACCCACTTTCTTCCTACATATATTTGTCTATTCTGGACATTTTACATAAATGAAATCATACAGTAAGTGGCCTTTTGTGTCTTCTTTCACTAGCAAAATGATTTCAAGGCTTATCCTTGTAGCATATATCAGCACTTCATTCTTTTTATGGCTGTGTAATAGTCCATTGTATGGATAGAATACACTTCTTTTTCTTTAATTTCCTTTTTCCCAGCTATACTTAGGTATAATTGTTATGTAACAGTTTTATATATTTATGTGTGCACCATAATGATTTCATATATGAATATTGTGATATGTATCACAATTGAAATGACTAATACATCCATCACTTCACTTAAATATCATCGTGTGTGTGTATATACTGCATTTCATTTATCTACTCATCAGTTTATAGACACTTAGGGGTCAAGACACTTTTTCTTGTGTCCACTTTTGACTTCTACAAACATTCATGTGCACATTTTGTGTGGATACATATTTTCTGTTATCTTGGGTGAAAATCTAGGAATGGAAATACTGACTGGGTCATGTATTACCTTTGCATTTTACACTTTGAGGAACTAACAGACAGCTTCCCAAGTGACACCACCAGCAATGTGTGAGTTTCTCTGTGTTCTTTTCAGCACTTACTATCACCCACCATTTCTGTTGTTGTTTTGTTCTTTTAAAATCTCTCTTAATGTTTAATGGTACAGAGTTTCCATTTGGAAAGATGAAAAGGCTCTGGAGTAGATAGAGGTAATGGTTGGACAACAGTGTGAATGTACTTAATGCCATTGTATCATACACTTAATACATTATATACTTATCAAGTTAAAATGGGGGATTTTATGTTGTGCATATTTTACTACTACAATTTTTACAATCCCTTTTCATGAAACTGCTTTCTCAATTCTGGATAAGAAAGTTGAGAGGTTGTAAACTCCGAATAGCCAAAGCTCTCCTGAAAAAAAAAGAAGGGAATGGAGGCATCAGACTCCCAGACTTCAAACTATACTACAAAGCCATAATCATCAAAACTGCATGGTATTGGAACAAGAACAGACATACAGACCAATGGAATCGAATAGAAAATCCAGAAATAAACCACAGATTTATGGTCAACTAATCTTTGACAAGGAGCAAAGAATATGCATTGGAGCAAGAAAGTTTGTTCAATAAATGGTGCTGGGAAAACTGGGTCGCTACATGCAAAAGAATGAAGCTTGACCACCACCTCACACCATACACAAAAATCAACTCAAAATGGATTAAAGATCTAGACATAAGACTGAACCATAAAATATATAGAAGGAAATATAGGCGAAACACTACGTGATTTGCACATCAAAGACATCTTTACAGACACATCACCCAAAGCAGTGATAGTGAAGGCAAAGATAAACAGCTGGGACTACATCAAATTAAAGAGCTTTTGCACAGCAAAAGAGACATAACAAAAACAAAGAGAAACCCCACCAACTGGGAGAACATTTTGCACCCAACACTAATGATAAAGGACTGATCACAAAAATCTGCAAAGAGCTGATGAGACTCAACAACAACAAAGAAAATAATCCAGTCAAAAAATGGGCAGAAGAGCTTAAAAGAAACTTCTCTGAAGAGGAAATGCAAATGGCCAACAGGCATATGAAAAAATGTTCAACATCACTTGTCATCAGGGAAATGCAAATCAAAAACTACCATGAGATACCATCTTACACCAGTGAGAATGGCACATATTAAAAAACTAGCAACAACAAATGTTGGCGAGGGTGTGGAGAAAAAGGAACTCTTCTGCACTGTTGGTGGGAGTGCAAACTGGTCCAACCACTGTGGAAAGCTGTATGGAGATTTCTGGACCTACTAAACATAGAGCTTCCATATGATCCAGCAATTCCACTCCTAGGTATTTACCCAAAGGACACAGAAACATCAATTCCAAAGAACACCTGCACCCCTATGTTTATAGCAGCACTGTTTACAATAGCTAAGCTTTGGAAACAACCCAAATGCCCAAAATAGATGACTGGATCAAGAAGATGTGGTACATATATACCATGGAATATTACTCAGCATTCAAAAAAGATAAACACATGCAATTTGCAGCAACATGGATGGCGCTGGAAGGGATCATGCTCAGCGAAATAAGCCAAAAAGAAAAAGAAAAATACCGGATGGTCTCACTCATAGCAGGAATCTAGAAAACTTAAATAAGGGACCAGGAAATGAATAACTATAAGAAAGTGAAAATCAAAATCAACAAAAAACTATGAACCAAGACACTTTTAGGGGGGCGGGGGGTGGGAGGGAGGGATTGGGGTCAGAATGGAGGGGCTGCAATTGTATGGGGAATATAACAATAAAATTTATTAAAAAAAAAAAAAATACAAAAAAAAAAAAAATAAAATAAAATTACAAAAAAAAAAAAAAAAAAAAAAAAAGCTTGCATTCAGGAACTGACTAATTATTCTTAGTTATACTCACTAGGATGCCTGCCCCTCCATTGTGCCCTCCAGCATGCCTCCCTCTGAGCTTTGCTTTTCTGCTCTGACTGAAGGCAAGAAGGCTGCACCTGTCTGGCATCTCAATGGTGTTACAACAGCTGTGGGAGGAGGCCCCAATTTTTTTCTTCTAACCATCCGAGTCGGTGTGAAGTGATAGCTCATGGTCACTTTCATTTGCATTTCCCTAAGGACTAATGATGTTGAAAATCTTTTCATGATCTTATTGGCATTTATACACCTTTTTTGGAGCAATATCTATCCAAATCCTTTGGCCATTTTAAAAATAGTTAATTGTTTGCTTTCACTGTAGAGTTACAATAGTACTCAATGTATTCTGGAAACTAGTCCCTTAGTAGATATGATTTGTAAATATTCTCTCCCATTTTGTGGGTGATACTTTTTCTTTCTTGGTAGTATCCTTTGAAGCATAAAAGTTTTTAATTTTGATGAAGTTCACTTAATCTATTTTTTCTCTTCTTGTGCTTTTTTTTTACATCATGGTTAAGAAAGCATTTTCTCTTAGCTATTTAAACATTTAGCCAAGGTCACAAAGATTTGTGCCTATATTTCTTCTAAAGATTTTATAGTTTTGGTCCCCATATTTAGATCTCTGATCCATTTTGTATTAATTTTTTTATATATGGTATGAGGTAGAGTAGCAACTTATACTTTGTGTGTGATTATTTAGTTATCCCAGTATCATTTATTGAAGAAATTATTCTTTTTCCCTTTGAATTTTCTTGGCATACTTGTTGAAATCAATTGACCATAGATGTATTTTTTTTTAAGATTTATTTATTTATGCATATAATAACTGGGGTAGAGGCCAGAGATGGAGGGTGGGTGAGAGGATTCACCAGAGACAGAGCGGGGAACAGAACAGGCAGACTGACTGAAATACACTGCTGAGGGGAGCAGCAGGCAAGACAGGAGAAGTCTGCCGTGCCATGTGGGTATCTCCCTGGCTGGCCCTCACTGCAGAGGCTGTGGACAGCTTCACAGTGCTGTGCTCAACCACCTGTGTCACCAGGGAGACCCGACATATGGTTTTATTTCTGGACTTTCAATTTTGTTCTATAGGCATAAATGTCTATACTTACACCAGTATCACACACTCTTATTACTCTAGTTTTTTAGTATGTTTAGGAAACAGGAAGTGGGAATCTTTCAACTCTGAAAATCTTTTGTTTTCAAATTGTTTCAGCTATTCTGGGTCCCATGCATTTCCTTAGGAATTTGAGGATCAACCTATCAATTTCTGTCAAAAGATGGCTAGGACACAAAAGGATTATGTTATATCTATAGATGAATTTAGGGAATATTGCTTTCTAACAATATTGTGTTCCAATTCATGAATACATTTTATTTAGGCTTTCTTTAGTTTTCTTTCAACGATGTTTTGTAGTTTTCAGTGCACAAGTTTTCCACTCTTGTGCTAACTTTACTTCTAAGTATCTTACTCCTTATCATGGTGTTGTAAATGGATGTCAGATTGTTCATTATGAGTATAAAGAAATAGTTAATTTGTGTATTTCGATTTTGTATCCTGCCACCTGGAGGGACTCATTTGTTAGATCTAATATTTTTGTGTGTGTACATGTGTGTGGATTCCTTGGGATTTTCTATGTGTAAGACCAAGTTCTCTGTGATTAAAGATGGCTTTACGTCTTTTCTAATCTGGATTCATTTTATTTCTTTCTCTGCAAAATTGATCTGCACATTCTTTAGCACAATGTTAAATAGCAGTAGTGTTCATTCTTGTCTGATTCCTGAGCTTTTGGGGAGGTGAAAATTGAGTTTTTCATCATTAAGTATAATGTTAGCTCATCCCTTATAATCACAGAAATGCAAATTAAAACCACATAGAGATACCGCCTCACACCAGTAAGAATGGCACATATCAAAAAAACAAGCAACAGCAAATGCTGGGGAGGATGTGGTAAAAAAGGAACTCTCCTACATTGCTGGTGGGAGTGCAAACTGGTCCAACCACTGTGGAAAGCTGTCTGGAGGTTACTCAGTCTACTAAAAATGGAGCTACCATATGACCCGGCAATTTCGCTGCTAGGGATCTATCCAAAGGACACAAAAACATTGATCCAAAAGAACACCTGTACCCCTATGTTTATAGCAGCACTATTTACAATAGGTAAAACCTAGAAACAACCCAAATGCCCAAAAATAGATGACTGGATCAAGAAGATGTGGCATATATACACAATGGAATATTATTCAGCAATCAAAAATATAAACAGGCCATTCGCAGCAATGTGGATGGAACTAGAGGGAATTATGCTCAGTGATATAAGCTAGAGGAAAAATAAAAATATTGGATAGTTTCACTTATAGCAGGAATATAGGGGAAGGAAATAAGACATCAGTGTAAAAAATAATAACAGTATAAAACACAACAAAGCAAAAACAGACAATTATAAATCAGAGACATCCTGCAGAGGAGGAGGAGGCAGGAGAGGGATCAGAGGGAGGGAGGGAGGAACACAGGGGACTGTGGTGATGGTGCACGGGTGCATTGGTGAAGGAAACTCTATGGGGACTACCACTGAGGGGGTGGAGGGAAGCAAATATTGTTTAAAAATGAACGATGTAAAAAATAAAAAAAATTAATATTAAAAAAAAGTATAATGTTAGCTTTGGGTTTTTTGTAGATGCCCCTTTTCAAGTTGAAGAAACTCCCTCTACCCCAAGTTTGTTGAGTGGTTTGTTTTTATGAAAAGATGTTGGGTCTTTTCAAATGCTTTTTTGTGCATCTATTGAGATGATCCTTGATTAATGTGGTGCTTTCCCTCAAATGATTTTCATATGCTGAACCCACCTTGCTTACCTGGGATAAATTCCTCTTGTATATGGTGGGATTTATATATTGCTAGATTTAATTTGTTGGTATTTCATTTAGGAGTTTTGATCTATATTCCTAAGGAATATTGGCCTCTCATTTTCTTTCTTGTAATATCCTTGTCTGGTTTGGTAGAGGGTGTTTTTTTTTTTCCAGTTCATATTTTTGTAGCAATTCTTCTGAACTTGCCTTTATAGCCATTCAAGAAACTCACCCTTATCCTTCATAGTCACACCTCACTTTTACTACTGTTTTCAGCTTACTAAAAAAATGACATGTCCAACTTTATCTACTCACCATCTTCAAATCTATACTTGACTTCAAACATCTCTTAGCTCTTTCTCAATGATACTGAAAAGCAACAAAACCACAACGGCAACACAGAAGTACCTGCAGCGTGCTGGGCACTGTTCTGAACCTCACGAGGAGGAGTCCACTTTCTCTTCACAGAATTGCGAACTAAGGAGTACTACTATGTTCATGTGATAAATGAGGAAACTAGGTAAAACAGGCAAAGTAACTTGTCTAGATTTCTCAGCAGGAATGAGACTGAGCCAGGACCCAAACCTGAGTGAAGAATCCCCACATTCATGCTCTTAACCACTATGCTTCTTAAGAAAATTTCAGAAGGGTCATTCATGAAACTTTTTGGAGAAATATCAGCATGCTTGGAGAAAGCATATACCACTAAAAAACTATTTGGAATAGTTTTATGAGAAAATCTGATATTTCTGTTTAACACATTGGTCACATTGTCTTGTATAGCAATGGAGACCTTTGATGTTAAATGGTTTGTCCAATATTTTAATTCTCCTATAAGTTCTGCATGATTTAAAGAAAAAGTTCCATTTTGAACTTTGGTTTTCAAAGAAAAATAATGTCAGCAGTCCTTTCAAAGGATACTTCAATGGTAAAATTTCAAATACCTTGCCCTTGGGGAAATTTTACAAAGCTGGGTACTGATTCTTTCTGCTCTAAGGCCTTCCAAGGAAAACTCAAACTTTAATTTGCATTCCTTCCCTGCTGTGCTTCAAAGACATACACTGCACACAGCAACCATAAAAATGTCTTATCAAATACAAACATGTTAAGAGAGACACTGTTGTTAATTAGTCAATAACTTCTTTTCTACACCTACTGTGTGTGAGACGCCACAAGAGATGGGAAGTAGCAGAGAGTGGACAATGAGAGCACAGGCTCCGCTCTCTTTCAGCCTTGGTCTGAGTAGAGCTCCACCACATATTCATTACGTCCACTTGGGCAAGTTTCGTAAGCTCTTTGAGCCTCAGTTTTCTCATCTGTAAATGAGGATAATAGAAACATAATTATATGAAGATGAAATGAGATAATCCACATAAAATACTTGCTATAGTGCCTAGCACATGGTAAACCCTCATTAAATATTATTATTATTAAGCAATCGAAAATTGACTGGGATAGCCTCTCTTCCCAAGTAGTTCATAGTATCATAAATAACAGTAATAAGAAGCAGAATGTTCTGTACATCAAAAAAGTAAAAGTGTTAATGAGGCCTTAAGAACCAAAAGTCATTAAGCAGCTGCAGAGAAGAGGAGGGAACAATGGGGCTTGCGGAAAGGATAGTAATTCAGAGGCCATCAGGGGAGATGCAAGGGACCTGGAGAGAACAGCGGAAACAAAGGTGAAGAAGTGGGAGAGAGTGTGTGGTCAAATCCCTCAATGAGAAAGGTTTCTGGAAGGAATATTAAAAGATAAAGCTGGAAATGAGCCTGGAAAACACTGACCTAGAAGTTATGGGGTTTGGATGTCATGTGGTGTGTATGAAGGTATACTAAAAGAGAGTGTTAAGTGAAAGTTGATAGTTTGTTTTTGTTTTTCAGATTTAGGAGCCAGGATCATTTTGACTTAAAAAGCATTTTCAGTTCTTGGGAAGTCACTGACCTTTTTGATCCACTCAAAGCTAACTTGAAAGGAATGTCAGGTAACAACTGTTCTTTTTCCAAACCTTTTGACATTGTGTTTGGGGCACTTTTATCATCCTTTGATTAAGGAGTTCTCATTGTTTTTAAAGAGACTTCAATGGTAAACAACCACAGTTAACATTGTTTAAAAGAATAAAGTACTTTATAAAAGAATGTGATGCTTCTGATAACAATCAAATTTAGAGTGGACTTTATGGTGAAGGGGTGTTTGCTGAGAGACCTTTGAGTACCATTTTCAGAGACCACCCTCAAAATGAGGTCAGTGGCCACGGGACACAATACAATTCACCCTCCCTTTGCCTTCATGACAAAAAGCATGCCAGAGACATTGGTGCAACATCAAGTCTCTTCATCCTGACCTCCTGCTGTCATTCCAGTTGCACAGACACCCTTTGTTTCTACCTCCTCTCCCTTCCTCCTTGTCTCCCTCTGTGCTGTTCTAGGGAGATAAACTTGAAACTTATCATCCATCCAACATCCTTCCCTCAAATCATCCATGTGCCCATAAACTTTCCCTAAAATATTCTCCTTCCCAGCATCCATATTACATTTCTTGCCCATAGTAGACGTGCTACTGTATCAGTAGGAGCTGTGTTTGCCTATGAACTGACAGGAAACTTGCATCTAATATTAAGAGAGTGGAATACCATAGCCATATGTTCCAGAATCATTTCATGAGACCATTGCCAATTCCAAGACCCTGGTTCATTTCTGCTTAAGATAGTAATACATATTTGTACAAAGATGACACTGGAGCAGGCATATTCATTGGCCTTGGCATTTTTCTTGCCTAATGAGCTTAATAATTTAAATGCTAAAATCTCACAGTACATAAAGGTTGCCTGAAGTGTTGTTCAGAGTCTTCTTTTTTAAGGAGTCACAGAAAAAATGGCACTATGGTCCACAAGGTAAGTCTTGCCCTGGGTGTTAGATGATAACAGACAGACTAAATGACAGTTATCAAATAAAACACAGGTGTAAGGAACTATTTAGAATATTTAAAAATTCCACAGGCTCATTGCCTAAACAAAAGATTAACGAAGCAAGTCAAATTTGGGCATAGAACTTCCAGCTATGCTTGGCACAGAGGATATCCAGTAAGTATTGTTGATTTGGTTGAATGACACAACCAGAAAATTTCCCTCATGACACAGGCATAATCTGACCTTGTAGAGGAAAGAGGAATACTGGAATGAAATATCTGAACTTGTGCTCTCTCTAACTTTAATAACCTGTGAAATCCATTTACAGTGTCTTCTTGCAACTCTGAGACTCAGACATGTATCCTCATTGTTGATGGCAATATTATTCTTTTTTGTTTTTGATCATCCTGACCAAAATTTTGAGGCCATTCAAGACCTTTTTTCCATATCATTACATTCAATTAAACCTATGACTTAATGATTTTGCTGTTATAGATCTTAAATATCTATCCTTTTATGTCCTAGAAGTACATCTTAGAATGCCATTAATCCTGTGTCCTCTGGGCTTAACTAACACTGGGCTTAATGCAGCAGCTTATTGGTAAAGACTTCTGAGGTCCATAAGTTCCTCTGATAATATCTAACAAGCAATGTAGTTTTAACAGTACCTTTTTGGACACCTAACCTCTTTTTTAAAATAATGCAATTCAAGTCTACTTATTTTTGTTGAAATCAACAGAAATATAGGCTCATGGATATAGCTTATTAATTATGAAGCAGTTAGCAAATGCCAAGTGTGAAGCTTGCATTCACATTTCACTCTGATAAAACACACCAGCCTTATAATCCCACCCAAAGAATTTGTTCCTCTGATGCAAGGGTCACCAAAGTAAAAATTTATCAATACTCAGCTACTCTCATTCATTTACAAATCACCTTCTGCTATGACAGAGAAGTTATGATGAACACTACATGATCCACAATGGCTAAAAAAAAATTACTGTCTGGTTCTTAAGGATTTCCAGTAAAGTGTTGCTTTCCAATACCTATATTTAAACATAAGAGACTAGTCACCTTCTATGCCCAAGAACACTTTGATTCTGGAGACATGGACACCGAATCTAAGAAATAGCCTAAAATGGGGTAGTCATTACCCACCTCTCTCATCTTTTGGAAATGAAATTCTTTATCATATAAAAAAGCTTTAGCAAAGAATTTGCAAGAGAGTAAGTGATGAGAAAAAGCTGGCCATCCTTCCCACAACTAACAAGGGGCTACCAAGCAGTTCTGATCTATTGATTGAAGCTCAACCTTAGGGAACATTTGGTCTTTTCTTGCCATTTGGTTCCAAAACCCAGAATCATTTGATTCACATTATCCTTCCCCATTTAAAATATCACTCCTTCTTTTGCTGTCTGAAGAACTTGATAACTGTCATTTCAAAACCCAACTTAACCCAGGGTGTAATTTTTCTTCCTGGAAATCCTAGACACTATGTCAGGAATGTCCAAGAGTAATTCCAATTCACTTACACAAAAAGAACTGCTAGAGATACACTTCTTGAGAGAATTACTTCACAAAGATTAAACAGGCTTTGATAAAAACCCATGTTTCCTAATCCAAAAAATATCCCTCATGCACAAACTTGAAGCTTTGAAAAAGCTATCTTATTCTTTACTTTTATAAGTAGGTTGCTTCTAATCCTGGTTTATTAAGAAATACAAGATCATTGGTACTACAACTTTGTGAAAGAAAAAAAAAATCAGTGGTTGCCAGGTATTTGGGGACAGAGGAGAAGTGGTAAAGTGAAGTATAGGAGGATTTTTGGGGGGTATTAAAACAATTCTTTATACTACTGCAGTGGTTAATACATGATACTTCATTTCTCAAAACTCAATTTATAGTACAATGAGTAAAGATTTGTACATGATAATTAAAAAAAAAAGATTTAGAAGTTGTAAGAATCCCACAATTAAATGCAGTATGTGTCAAAACAACCTAACTTTATTACAAATGTGTGATACACTCTCACTAAAAAGTGGAGCGGGGAGAGGTATCAACCTAAGTAACTTAGGAAATGGAGGCTATAAAAATTGTACAAAATCACAGTAAAGGAGGAGGGGAGAGGTCAAGGAAGAAGTAGTAGAGTAGCAGCAGCAGCAAGACGCTCCCTATCACTATGACTTAAATGGGCAAACCACCCATAGTTGTTTGGTTACCTACTAAAGCTAACTTATGACACACCAGATCAGACTGGTCAGAGCTGCATAGGTCATATCAAAATTACAGATTGCTCCTGACTTCAGTCCTCCTCCCAAGGTCAATTAGCAACTAACCATAAGATAAGACACCAGGGGTGAGGCTGAAACATGCATTTGAACCACAGAGACTAAGAAGAATAGCAACGAAAGGTAAGAGGAGCACTGCACTCTGCCGATATCACCCTTACTCCACCACACCACTAAGAATGTCTTCCTGGATCTATGGCTTCTCCAGTGTTGGAGGGGAGGGCACGGGGAAGAGCAAAGATGGACATCCAGTTCACTGTTACACTACTCTTCCTGAAGGCCTACTTGGGTCTCACCTCACAGAGATCCCTGGGGAAATCCATGGCTATCAGCTAAAAATAAAGGGGTGAGAAAAGGATCTGTGATCTAGCTTTTGCACATCATGTTCCTGCTTATAGAAGTCTGTGAGTAGAGATTCTAACCAGAGTACTGAGGATCTGCAGAAGCCAGTGGCCTCTGCCAGTGGCCCTATCTCACCAGTGAGTTCAGTTGCCCTATGGTACGTACCACCAAGCCACAGAGACCAGCCAAAAGCCCCACCCAGCAGTGAAACCAACCTACAGCCCTGCCCAACTTCCTGGAACAATGTTACCCTTTCTGAACAGGGAGTCCAGCCAGCAGCAACATGCATATGGGAAGCACAGTCTGAGATCCACCTGACCAGGAGCAATTATGGAATTCAGCCCAGAGGCCTTCCATTCATGGAATTTAACCAGTGGCATCAATCTGCCAAGGGAACATGGCCTATTACCTTGCCCAACTGGAGGTGGTTGCAGAGCACAGTTAGTAGTTCTACCTGACCTGAAGCACAGTCAAGTTCTGCCCAAACAAGGAACCCACCCAGTGGCCTCAACACCTCAATGCAGAGCCCAGTCAACAGGCCCACTCAGCTGCATGATCCAATGAGTAGCAGACCCATATCCTCAGAGCACAATCAGTAAGTAGCCTTGCCCAAGTAGAGACCCCAATAGCAAGCCACACCTGTCCATAAATGCTGCCAGCTGACTGGTCAAGATTTTTCTCTGCTAAAGCAAATCTGTAAAGTTTGGAAGAGGAGATCATTTACTGAAATGCACAGCTATAAAGGCAAGGAATCAAGGATCATGAAGAGTTAGGTAAACAGGACACCACAAAAAAGAAACTTAGAAAAGTCCAGTAACTAATCATAAAGAAACAGAGATGCATGAGCTATCTGACAAAGACTTACAAACAATACTCTTAAAGAAGCTCAGTAGACTACAAAGACACGCAGACAAAATTAGGAAAACAATGTGTGAACAAAATAAGTTCAACCAAGAAATAGAAACCATTTTTAAAAAATACCCAAACACTTTAAAACTGCAGAATACAATACTGCATTAAAGGATTCAATAGAGAGCTTCAACAAACAGGCTCAACCAAGCAGAGAAAAGAATCAATGAAATAGACGCTATGTTTTTGAAAATATTTTGCCAGAGAAAGAAAAAAGGAATGAAAAAATTAAAGTTTACAGGAGTTGTGAATTCCATCAAAAGAAAAAATACACATATGACGGAATCCCAGAAGACGAGAAAGGGATGGAAAGCCTAGTAAAGCAATAATGGCTGAAAACTTCTAAAACTTGGAGAAAAAATGGGTATCCCAGATTCAAAAAGCCCAAGGAATTTAAGCCTCAAAAGAACTACACTAAGAGACATTATAATTATAAAACCTCAAAGACAGAATTTTGAAAGAAGGAAGAAATGACTCATCCATACAAGGGAATGACTATAAGACTATCAGTGGATTTCTCAACAGAGATTTTAAGGCCAATAGTGGAATGATATATTCAAAATGTCAAAAGAAAAAACCCTGCCAACTAAGAATACTATACCTGCCAAAGCTATCCTACAGAAATAAAGGCAAGCAGGGCCTTACCAAACTAACAAAATTTTCATAAACTAATAAAATACTGAGGAGTTCACCACCACTAGACCTGCCTTACAAATTATGCTAAAGGATATTCTTCAAGGTGAAATAAAGAGATGTGAATCAGCACTGTAAAAACCTATGAATGTACAAAAATCACTGGTACTGGTAAATACATACTGTCATTTGTCCCTTAATAATGGAGATATGAGAAATGAATTAATAGGCAAATTTGTCATTGTATGATTATCAAGAGTGTACAGTTATACTCCACATAATGATGTTTTGGTCAACAACAGACTGCATATGATAGTGGTCCCTATATATAACCTGGGTATGTAGTAGGCTATACCACTTAGGATTATGTAAGCATCCTCCTCACACATGACAAAAGTTGCTTAATGAGACATTTCTCAGAATATATCACCATCATTAAGTGACATATTAACTGTATACATCTCTCTCTATATATATAGCACTGTCATAAAAAAGGGACATTCTGCCATTTCAACATGAAAATACCTTGAGATCATTATGCTAAGGGAAATAAGTCAGAGAAAGATTCTGTTATCTCACTTATATGTGGAATCTAAATAAAACAAACTCATAGGAAAAAAGTAGATCATTAGTTGCTAGGGAAGAAGTGAAGGTATAAACTTCCATTAGAAGAAAAGTTCTGAGCATTGTGATTTTACTTAATGTTGTGTTGCATATTAATAAGTTACTGAGTAGATCTTATAATTTCTCAATACACAAAGAAATTACAACTATGTAAGGCAATAGATGATTAATCTTATTGTAGTAATAATTCCCCAATACATACATAAATCAACTGAGCTATACATAAATCAACTGAAGAAAGCAACTAGCCATAGCTTAGTTTCAGTCTTTTTAGCTCTCTCTCTCTCTCTCTGTATAAGCACACAATTTGCAAAATGTGCAAATGTGCAATGTCCCTATATATGTGCATCAGTTTATCATAAAGCTGCATCTTTTGTCTTTGCAATTATAATTACTATTCGCAAAGTTAGTATCTTTTAAAAAGTTATTGCCAGAATTTGCTTCTAGTTTATCTTTCTCATCACTTGCTTTTAAAAGAGCAAATTATATGCTTACACAATGTCTTAAACATTTTGAGAGGATGACCAACCACACACAAAGCATGGATAGTCTTCACCAACAAAGGGTAAGCAATCATTTAGATGAAATTTGTCAAAGACACATCCTATGTTATTACCCTATGGGTCTACAGACAACATTTCCTTATGTTCCCCAGAATGTTAATCTGTTAAGGTTGGAGACAGGATGGTATAAGTGGCCCATAGTTAAACTCTACGTATGAGTCCTTCTGTAGAGATTTACTGCAAACTTAAGCAAATTAGCAACTCAGTTCCCTACTAAAAACAAAAACACAAAACTATTCAACCTGCACTTCCCATTTTAATTAACCATGGAACCCTTTTTACAGGATAGCACCTATAAACAATCTTGGCAACAGATTTTGGGAAAACAGTTTGTGCAACCCTCAATGGCAGTTGATAACACTGCCATAAAGGATGAACCTAAGACCAAAAGCTACAGTCAGGAAAATCCATGATTGGCCTCTTCTAGTGGATTTCATTAGTTGTAAAAAATTTCATTATCTACTTAACAAAATTAAACAGATAGGCACTGTATTACAAGACCAAGCAAGAAGACACAAACTCACAGATGACTTATAATTCTTATTTTGATCACAACTGTTGGTCTTCTGAAATGTCAACTCTTACCAGAGATAAAATTTAAGAGATGCAGATTCTAAGACATAACAGGTTGTTGCTGGCTTTTAGCTGTACAAACACATAAATGTCAATTATTGGAACACTCCTGTAGTCTGAGGAGAAAAACTAAGTGAAACTCTTCAGTTGCAATCTCAAGAAAGTGAAATAAACACTCATTCATACCAACTGGTCTTATTTCTCACACTGTGCCAAGGTGCCTGGACTCAGTACAGACACATTTAATATATTTAGCTATCAAAGGTTTTGTAGTGTGTCTGTTCACATCCCATCAACATTTATTTAAAAAGTCCAGATACCATATTAGGTATTGTCACAGATATGAAGTGACAAACTAGTAAAACCTTCTCAGGACTATCATAGATCTATTCTTAATCTACAAAATTCTAATTTTGGTACTGCGTTTCAGCTTGTTGAAATGGTGCTTAATTATTAGAGAAATTTGTTTCTTTCTTAAAAAAATCCTACAGAATAAGATCAACTGTTAAATAAAGCTAGATTCTTCTTGGCTTATAACAAGTGACACTAGATGACTATTTCTATTGACTTTCCCCTTCCTTTGGCCCTTGTCTGGGTTCCTCAGTACTAATACCAGAAAATACATTAAATGAACATTCAATTCATAATTTTCTGTATAACTTATTTACAAGATGGACAAAATGTTCCATATTCTATATTATGGATTGGTTTTATCCTCTCACAACATCCATTTGCCATCTCCTTTATATGCATGAAAAACGAAAAACAATTTAGCCGAAGATGATACAAAGCAGCTTCTCTCAATATACATGTACCTCAAAATTATTATTTTAATATTCATGCTATAGATCCCTTTCCAGTGGCATGCTAGAGTTAGGTAGAATACACTTCTTCAAAGATGATAGTGTTTGTGTGTGCAGTGGTGGGGTGGAAATGGACACTACACTATCAGAATTCCTTATTGAATGTGTGGCCTCATTTTGTTTGCAGATTTTAGCCCATGAGGCAAGTTAATTGCATAACTAGTATGCCTAAGTATACAGAAAGCAATCATGCAGTATTAGACATTATTAATACTCTGAATTATATCTTTTAAAGTCCACAGTACAGACCTGTGACTTTTAACAATGGCTCTTAAAATATAGCCCAAGAAGCCATTCAAGAGAAATCACATCTTGCTGAAAATGCAGCTTACTGGGCTCCAGAATTCACACTGTAACACATTCTCTAGCAATTCTTATGACCACTGATATTTTTAAAATATCGTCCAAAGAAATATAGTTATTTTTGAAAATTACTGAAAAATTTCACATTTCTGAATCAATTTGGAGATGATTAATTTACCAAATTTGAGGTTTTAAAGTTTGTATAAAACATTTAACTTAATTATCTTCCAAACAATTCTGTCCCAAGCTACACATTAAGCAGCACAAGAGATTACAACTAAGCATACCCTTTAAGGTATACTCAAGATTCTCAAGATGCATCAAAAAGTGCAAATAAGTCACATTTTTATTATTTCCTGGGGTTAGGCCAAGATGGCTTTTATGTTTCTGAAGCAATCCAGAAAGCAGAGATTGAGGTTTCTGAGGAAGGCACCAAAACACCTGCAGCCACAGGTATGTTCGCAATTCTCAGTCAAGTTTTCCTGTATCTACTTTTGTTAGATTTATCCAGTTTAACAGTCATTCCTAAACCTGCTTCCTAAAAACTCCAAGTCCAGATGTGGTGTAGCATTTTTAAAAAGAAATGTTAATGGAGAGAAAAGTTTCCAAAAAATGTAGGGAGAGGTACACACATATTTTGAAAAAGACTTGTACTATTATTCCCATAAACAAGGAAGAATAGTTTTGAAAATTATGTTCAGCAAGAAATTTATTTCATGGAGTATTTTGAAAATAAGATGCAGGGTTGGTTAAGTGGTATCTTTTAAAAATCTCCCTAATTGAATCCTGTCTTAACATTAAACAATGAAATAGCATTGGGATACTTTTATTTCTTCAAAAATCAAGGGTATAACTGACTTGACACTTCAATTTTACGACTTTCCCCAAATGAATAGAAATTCACTGAGATTCTCCTGATCTTTCCTGTACCTCTATTGTTACTGAAACTGTCCGATTCCTATTTTTAAAGCAGATGGGCCATTCATCTATTTTTAGGGAGAAACCAACACAGGTATTTTTTTTTAATAGGATACAAATAAATTAAATATTTATGAGCATCTCTCTTACAACAAATGCTCATTTGTTCATGGCAGTCTAAACCAAGCATTCCTGCTAGCTAGTTTCTATGATGGCTCAGGAGTATCTCAGTTCCTGTGCTGTATATCCTAAGAGGGATATTTCATGAACAACAAAGGCTACTAATATTCTCCATGTCTTGTTGCCTTCCCTTCCTCTCAGCTCATTTATAGTTGAAGCAGTTTTGTTTTTAATTGTTTTCTATTTCTGGGGAGATGGAAGTATCATCAGATTAAGCCTTGGCTTGTTTTTCAGATGTTGCCTAGCTTTCTTGTCATTTTAGGGTAAGAAAAGTTTCTTTAGGCCACTGGAGTATCCAAGTAGTTCCCTCACTGGTGTTCTAGTGAATGCCTAAATTTCTGTTCTTTTTCAAGCTTGAAGTTACACAAATACCAAATGTTTGCCCTAGTACTCTGAAGTCACAGAACCTCATCTTAATCCAAAGATAGAACGGTACAGGCACAGCCTTAGCATAAAAGGACAAACATTAAGTCCTTTAAAGGTCAACATTTAACTAACTATTCAACATTGAACTAAGTATTGAAATTATTTCTAATCTCCCCTCACCCATGCCCCTGGAAAACTATTTATCAGGCTAAAAAAGAGATTCTCAGTAAAGAGTTGTTGGCAAGTCTAAACAATGTGTTGAAAAGAGATAGGATGAAACAAGACTAACAAAATCAAGCAAAAGTGGATCTACTTTAACTAAATGTCAGGCATTATTTTTATTTATGGAGAGAAAAAAGTCAAAAGTTAGAATAATGATAATTACTCATAGGCTTTACACAAATTGTTAAAGAAATACTGTCAACATCATTTTATCTGAGAATCATTTGCATACTGCTGTAACGTGCTAGAAATCAAAGGAACACTTGACAAAAAGGATGACGATAACCATTCACTAGGAAATAATCTAGTTTGAGATTATTTTGGGAGAAAAATCCTTCAACAGAGTACACCCTCCTAGTATTTCACCATTATCTCAACCCCGTATTTATTAAATATGTCACTTTTAGAACAGAACTTTCAACAGAGAGCCCTCTCTTAGGAAGGATGTATGTCAAAAATGAAAGATGGAATCTTCTCCTTCAAGAAACAGAGACAGAACTAAACAGAAAGGTCAATGCCAAAAGCTGTCATCAATACTGATGACAGTTGAAAGAGAATAATTTTTTTCTGGAATTTAATTGCATAAATATGATATAAAATCTTTGAATTAGTTAAGGACACACCACTATTTCAGTAAGAGTTTTCTGATCTGCCTTAGTATACAGAACATGTAAGGCTAACCAAAACCAGTGTATGTAAATAGTCCTTATCAATTTATTTATCTCATTTTCCAGGAGGTGCTTGCCCATATTGCACAAGGCAAAGTGGTTACTCTTCTGGTGACAGGGGTATTGAAGAGGTAGAAACCAGTCTCAACCTTCAGTACACCAAAATGACACATCTTACTGATAAGGGTAAAATAATGACCTAATCAATTAACAAAAGGACATACAGGAAATAAGAAAAAAAATCTTACCTCAAGATTAAATTGTTGGACATTTGTCCAGCGTAAAGTCATCCATTGATCTAAAGTGCCTAAAAGACATGGTGATCTCCCCCAAAGGACTCTCCCCTTCTCCTTTGTTTATAAAAATGCTACAGTATCTCACTAATATGCCCATTTTTTCTAAATGTAAAAAACCTGCAAGACACAGGGTGTTACACTTGAGTTTCAATGGGTTTCAAACTTGGTGAGTAGGTTTTGGGATGATAGTGTATTGTATGGAAGCAGAGAATTAGGGACAGAGAGGAAACTGAATGAATTACTTCTTCCCAAGTCCCCCAGGGTTCACTGCAAAAAATTGTATTAAAGGTTAAGGGTATAAACAGCATTGCCTCATGAGCAACTGTGAAATGGAAATAAGAACATTCTGATAGGGAAAACTGTTAAATATTGGATTAGACTGAATCTCTTTCTTGACTATTCATCTCAAAATCTAAATATGTATCATTTAAGACCCGACAATATATTCTGGATTTTTTGTAGCTCTTACTGAATTTAGCAATGTAACTGTAAATAATTATCTTAACAATTCCATCTATTAAATGACATCCTGCTTTACTTAAAGATATTTTGTAGAGGTAAAAAAGGTTAAAGAATTGCATATGAAAATACTATATAACATCACATGAGATGATTCTTTTTCTTGACAGGGTTTGTCTGTTCAGCATTGGAAGAGTATCAAATCCCTAGACTACATTAACAGATCTTGAGCATGCTTTCAACCTCCATGTATGCTTTTCTTCACAAAAAGTTACCATTCGTTATACCCTTGAAATTTAAAAAAATGTTATGCTAACTTGTAAAAAGGGTATGTGATTTTTCAAATATTATGAACTTAAACATACTTCAATTTTATTATGATTTTATAAATCAATTTGCCTCTTTTCATCTAAATAATCTACGCTTCTCTTCTGGTCACTCCTCAATAATACAAGGCACAGCAGTGATCTATGAATGGTAAAGTAGGTCCTCAGTTAGGACATGTGAGGTCATTTTGGGCTAAGGGCGGGAAATAAATGATGCCAGTTTTTCCTTTTCCTGGGTAACTTAGCAGGAAAGCAAAATGAACAAAGTCATCTTAAATACATTTTCTTTCCATTTAGTTTCTAAATAAAATGAAGTTTGTAAGTATGAGACTAGCAGAGCAGAATAAAGAGATCCCCTTTGAACCCCCAATATGTTGTGGGCCTTTTGTAAGCATGGCATCAAGCCGCTCAAGGAGAGACATTTCAGAGTATGTGGTGTACCCAAACTTACCACTCCCTAAGTAAGAGCTTCAACTTTGTGCCATCCACAGTCCTAACGAGAAGGGAAAAGGAACTGAAGTAAAGTAAGGAAACCAGTAACGTTCAAAAGTGTCTGCTTTTTAAACAGTTTTAAGAGTTGGTTGTCTCTCTGCCACAGATACTGTCGTTTTCCATTACCTAGGCAGATGTGAGAGTATGGTGTGGCCAACAAAAGCTAAGAACATATAGCGAAAAGACAATGCAGATTATGTAACATGTAATACAGATAAGTTTAACAAATATGAATTTCAAGTGGTGTATTTTTCCAATGCTTTAAAAA